GAAAACAGCCAAGCTCAGAAACCACCAAGGACCCCACACAGGAAGTCTTGGCATCAAAGAAGAGAATCTCAAAAGTGGCACTTCAATCTGTTTTCCCAATTGGTGCCGCTAGGGTCTGTTCTGTAGACCAGATTTAATTCTATCCTTTGTGATTGGACCAGCCAATCTGCCCTCTTTTATAAGAATGCTCCTGGGATGGGACTACAGTATATAATATGGCAATATATGACCTTTTGAAATAGTAGGCTTTCAAAGCTGCCAATGCTAAACAGATACGTTCAAATTTGGGATCAGAAATTGTTTTTCTTCTAGATTTTATTTAATACCTTTATTATTTTTACAAATGAATACATTATTAATAGGAACACATTAATATTCCTTCCTCCTCCTATTTCCCCTTCAACAACAACCCTGTGAGATGAGTTGGGCTGAGAGAGTGATTGGCCCGAAGTCACCCAGTTGGTTTTTCATGCCTAAAGTGGGACTAGAAATCCAGGCTCCTAGTTTTGATATCCAGGGGAGAAATCAATGCAGATTTCAGTGTTTTATACTCAAGTTGAAAATGAAATTGCATTAGTACGTGTAACACTGCTGTTTAAATAAGCCACAAGATTAGAGATGGCCCAGTTTCCTCAAGTACATAAGGGTTAGAGTTTACCTCATGATGTAATACAGATTGGATCAGTTGCCTTCTGTTCAGAGGTAGACTCTGAGCCTGGCCATGTTCCCAGCCAACCAGCATCTGAGTTGAAACACATTCAAAGAGGTAAGATTGAATTTTGGCCTTATTAAAGAGGTTCCCTGTGTAGTCCATTCTTCTGGATAGGAAAAAGCTTTGTTTTATAAAAGACAAAAGGGCAGAATTCTGGAGATGCAGACTAGAGTTGCTATGCCTAATCTGGGAGAAATACTACAAGCCTAAAATAATTCTGATATACACTGCTCAAAAAAATAAAGGGAACACAAAAATAAGACATCCTAGATCTGAATGAATGAAATATTCTTATTAAATACTTTGTTCATTACATAGTTGAATGTGCTGACAACAAAATCACACAAAAATTATCAATGGAAATCAAATTTAGCAACCCATGGAGATCTGGATTTGGAGTTACACTCAAAATTAAAGTGGAAAAACACTATAGGCTGATCCAACTTTGATGTAATGTCCTTAAAACAAGTCAAAATGAGGCTCAGTAGCATGTGTGGCCTCCACGTGTCTGTATGACCTCCCTACAACACCTGGGCATGCTCCTGATGAGGTGGCAGAGGGTCTCCTGAGGGATCTCCTCCCACACCTGGACAAAAGCATCCCCCAACTCCTGGAGAGTCTGTGGTGCAATATGGCGTTGGTGGATGGAGCGAGACATGATGTCCCAGATGTGCTCAATTGGATTCAGGTCTGGGGAATGGGCTTCATCTTGCAGGAACTGCTGACACACTCCAGCCACATGAGGTCTAGCATTGTCTTGCATTAGGAGGAACCCAGGGCCAACCGCACCAGCATATGGTCTCACAAGGGGTCTGAGGATCTAATCTTGGTACCTAATGGCAGTCACGCTACCACTGGCGAGCACATGGAGGGCTGTGCGGCCCCCTAAAGAAATGCCACCCCACACCATTACTGACCCACTGCCAAACCGGTCATGCTGGAGGATGTTGCAGGCAGCAGAACCTTCTCCACAGCGTCTCCAGACCCTGTCACGTCTGTCACATGTGCTCAGTGTGAACCTGCTTTCATCTGTGAAGAGCACAGGGCGCCAGTGGCGAATTTGCCAATCTTGGTGTTCTCTGGCAAATGCCAAACGTCCTGCACGGTGTTGGGCTGTAAGCACAACCCCCACCTGTGGACGTCGGGCCCTCATACCACCCTCATGGAGTCTGTTTCTGCCCATTTGAGCAGCCACACGCACATTTGTGGCCCGCTGGAGGTCATTTTGCAGGGCTCTGACAGTGCTCCTCCTGTCCCTCCTTGCACAAAGGCGGAGGTAGCGGTCCTGATGCTGGGTTGTTGCCCTCCTACTGCCTCCTCCACGTCTCCTGATGTACTGGCCTGTCTCCTAGAAGCGCCTCCCTGCTCTGGACACTACGCTGACAGACACAGCAAACCTTCTTGCCACAGCTCCCATTGATGTGCCATCCTGGATGAGCTGCACTACCTGAGCCACTTGTGTGGGATGTAGACTCCGTCTCATGCTACCACTAGAGTGAAAGCACCGCCAGCATTCAAAAGTGACCAAGCCATCAGCCAGAAAGCATAGGAACTGAGAAGTGGTCTGTGGTCACCACCTGCAGAACCACTCCTTTATTGGGGATGTCTTGCTAACTGCCTATGCTTTCCACCTGTTGCCTATTCCATTTGCACAACAGCATGTGAAATTGATTGTCAATCAGTGTTGCTACCTAAGTGGACAGTTTGATTTCACAGAAGTGTGATTGACTTGGAGTTACATTGTGTTGTTTAAGTGTTCCCTTTACTTTTTTGAGCAGTGTATGTTTGAATTTACCCCCCAAATCTAGGGGAGATCTACAGAAAATATTTTGTTTCAAGATTCAGATTATTTGTATATAAATAAATGTTTTTAACCTAATAATCTTTGTTAGGTGTTTATTTTGTTGTGGGTGCATTAGAAGCCATTTGACGTTTATTTCTTTGCAAATATAAATTCATAACTTAAATGCAGTGTCTCTCGACACAAATAGCACTCCAGCACCATCTTGTGGCCTAGTAAGAACTTTGTACTTTTGCAAATAGGATTCATGTACTATTGCTTTTGAAATTTTTTGGGGGGAAAAGAAAAGATTTCATCTTTTGCAAGATTTGTTATCTTTCAAAGCATGGAAGAAGAATCTCTAACTAGCCACCTATGATTATGCCACAGTGTCAGGAAGCTGTAGTATATGGTAGAAAATATTTCAATTTTTCCCCAATTTTTGCTTTTATTTGCATAATTCCATACTAGTTATAGAGCAATAATGACCAAGCAGTAATACCAATACAGTGAACTGAAGATCTAATAAATACCTACATTACTTATCCATTGCCTAGATTAGACCCATCATTTCACAATCCCCAGATGTGTAGACTGGTGTTTTTACCACTATACCAAATTGACTGTCTTAACAATGAGAATGTTAATAAAGGGAAAAGAGGGGGGAAAACAATTAATTTCTAGCTTTTCCGTTTTTTGTACTTTCCCTATCAGTTACTTTACAGCATTTGTAAATATTTAAAAGCCAGACTGTAATTATATTTACCATGCTGGGTGATATATGGAAGCCATTCTTGTTTAAACTTAAATTCTATTATGCTGCTAATTTTGTCATTAATGTATATTCTCCAAGTTTAAATTTCCAGTTAAATATTGTCAGGATTATATCTTCCTTCTAGTAAATTTAGAACAAAATTTATTCTTGATGCTGTGAGCTTATATCTCATCAAATTGTAATGTTTCTTGGAATTTTGTGAAATTGTATCTTTTACCAAAAGTTTGATTTCAAAGTACATCCAAATATGTTCATAATAGCTGTAAAGCAATTAACCAATTTCTGAAAGTGATTAGTAAAACGAAGCACATGAACCTTGTGCACTTTAAATGCATCGTCCATGGTTTGAGCAAGATGGTCTCCCAGAGCTCTAAAACAGCAGGAGAATTTGTTTTGAAGTCTTCTCACAAGGAGGATCTACTTGCTGGTTCTTCATTCCACCACGGTTGTTGGTACTGAAGTATATTCATTTTCATAATTGTAATTGATTCTATCCAAGATACCATTAAATTCTTCCATCTTCAGGGTTTGTCATAATTTGGCATGGTTATTTTATTATATTTCTTGTTGACTTTTCAAAATTGACTACCTTATACATCTGCCATTTGTCTCTCAGTACAGATTGCTGACCTTCTTTGTACATATTCAGTGAAACCAAATTCCTTGTTTATCTGAGCACATTCCTAAGCCTCAGAACTGAGCACATGGAATGTAAAACAATCAAGAGCAGACATGCTATGAAATCTTCTCTGGTTTATTGATTAACTGAAGCAGCTTCTTCTTTACAGCGCTGCTCCCTTGATTATATACATTTCCGCCTAATTTAGCAATCTCCAATCAAGCTTGGATTTATTTTTGCAAATGGGAAGCAGATGTGAATCAAATCCTTGGAACAATGTGTCCCAAAAACACACATCCCAAGGAAGTTAGATGATTTTTAAAAAAATCAGTTTAAACCAGTTATTAAATTGATAGGCTAATGGTTTAATTTAAACAATCATAGTTACTAAACTAAGCTAATTGTTTAATGAAAACAATTGTTTAATTAAAATAATCACATTGGGTACTTTTCAAATACTTAGTGTACAGCATTGATGTGATTTAAGAGCTTAGGGAATCTTGCATGAACAGAGGACAGTGGGCTAAATAAACATAAGTATTTTAAGAATGAAGGAAAAAGAAGCAAAGAGTTCAAGGAAGAGTATTGTTCAAACACAGAATCACATTACTAGTTCAACTTTGGCCTGGAATGCAGAGAGTTTTTCCAACTGCTTCATGATTTGTAGAAGACATTTGAAGAAAGAAAGAGGGTAAACTTGCAAGCTTTCTGTAACAGGATTGGGGGGGAGGGGGAAGCAGAGTAGGTGTTTTGGAGTAATCAGGTCCCAGAAAAGAGTAAAAGTTAGAGAAAGAAATATGCTTCAATTATTTATTAATAAACCCTTGAATTTTAAGGCAGGAGAACAACTGGGTCCATTAATGATGGAATCCAAGAGGTGTCCTGAAGTAACAGTAGCAAGGATGGGGTTGGGTGTGTCTCATCAGCTCTCTTTTAAAACATTCCAGACCCAGAAAAACTTCCCCTGAAAAAGAGCACCCATACACTGCTTTTAACTAGCACTTTTTCTCAGGTTCCCTGCTTCTAATAGTAGAAGAAAGGAATCTGGATTAAGCCCTAAGGAATCAGGAGTTGCATAAGCACTAGTTTTCATCATATCCAGACACAACCCTGATTAATTATATTTACTTTATTAAAAATTGAATATGCACTCCAAAGAATATTTAACATCCAATAAGACATTAATTTTTTATATTTTATTGATAGCCCCAATTTGTATGCATTGACAAAGAAACCAACCTAGTTGAAAATAATATATTTCTGTACAATAACTGCTACAGTGTTCTCTCATGTGCCCAAACATGTAATAGAGTATAAACATGCTAACAGGCACTAATCCAAAAATTATTTCCCCCAGAAAAATTGGGAATTTCCATTTGCAAAACCAAAGGTACAACAGACAGCAGACAAGACTTGTAAACTAGCACCTCCTTTGTGTAGTGTTGGTGGGCCTGGAAAATGGAAAGGCCATTAAATGGTTTTGGCTTTGTGCCGCTGGGTGATCCAAAGGAAGGTGGAGAGAATGACAGTGATGGTTCCCAAAGTTCCAAAGAACAGCAGGTATGGAAAATTGCCCTGAAAGGTAAAGGGAAATTTGAAGTCTTTTTCTAATTTGATTAGCTCCCAAAGCTTCTTTTTAATCAGCCTCAAAGGCTTGAATCAAAGGGACTCTAGCACAGCTTTTATCAAAACGAAGTCCTTCAATGCTGTTGGATGTTAGTTTCCAACAACCTCAGCGAAAAGAAAGCAGTCCTAACCCATAATGTAATGATTATTCCCAGTTGGAATAATCTATTTCATTTAACAGCTCTTATTTTGAACTTTCCATCCCATCATGCCCAAGACCTCCATCTCCTTGTACCAAGGGAAAAGCATACGGAACGTAAATCCCATCATCATCAAAGACCAACTTACCTGGCGCAAGCATTTATAGCCATGGTATGGATCTACACAGAGGCACTGGGACAAACCGGGTCCGTCAGAAGTACAAAGCGATCCCTCTGGGCATACCCAAACTATAAAGAAAGAAGGTGGAGGGGCAAGGGTGAGGATGTCCTCCTCTCACTTTTCAAGTCTCATTCCATAAACAGCATAACTAATAGCTCCTTGTCTTTAGTTTTCTTTCAGTCTCTTCCTCACCATTAGTACTGTGCCTTCCATTAGCAGAGCTGACCTTATTCTGCCCACCTTAATCCTGCCAAACCCACCTATTCTTATCTTCCTGAGATTCAGGACGTGGGGACCTTGCTGCCCCTCACTTCAGGTCTTTTGCCTCCTACTACCACTGATGATATCTTTTTGTACAAGGTGTGCTCCACACATAGCAAATATTTTGTTCAATCTACTCAGGATTAGGATTAGCCCATAAAATGCTAATGCTAAAATCAGAAGTAGATTCCTGGAGAAATGTATAGAAAACCCACCTCCTTGCCCAATTGCAGTTTATTCTGAAAAATATATATATAAATTTCAGAAATAATAGCTAACGAAGCAAGAACATTGATTACCATGCAAAAGAACTTCCTTCTGGATAGTCCTTCACTGCCCTTAACAGAAATGCCCAAAGCAATTGTGCTGCTTTGATAGTAATAATTATTAAGAGTTACATTATCAATGAAGAAACAGAATAAGGTGAAAAAAAATCAAAACCTCAACAGCCAAATTCAGAACTCAAATTAATATCATATAGTATTTATCTATTTCATTGACATCAGCATACAAAAGATAGTCAAGTGGAAACATTAAATTTGAGAGCTCCTTGTTTATTTCTGTTCGCCTTCCTGTAGCTGTTTCACTGCAGGGGAATTCTAGACTTTATTCCATGTTTGCAGACTGCAGCAAAACAGAGCGATAAGAGTGACTCACATCTGATTCATACCTTTACTAATCGATGGTTAGGCTACTGCAATGTAGTAGTCTATGAAGCTGCCTTTGAACATGACCCAAACTGCAATGGGTCAAAATGCACTTTGTAGGCTTTTAGCAGATAAGAACCATTACTATAGAATAAACTCCCATTCTTCAATTACAGTACTGGCTGCTAAGAGGCTTCCAAATCAATCTTCTGGTTTTGAAGATTTAGTACCACCACCTCCAATACAATTGTGCCTGTCTCTCATGCTCTTCCAGGAAGTGGATATTAATGGCCCCATTCCTGATAGAGTTTCAATAAGTCTAGCCCTATTCTCTGAGGGCCCTCAATCCTGTGGAACACCTTGGCCCCAGAGGTCCAACAGGCAGCCATTCTTCTTTACTGTTTTTTTCATAAGATTGAAAATAATTTTGTTGGAGTTTGGAGGTAAAGAACTTAATCTTAGGGTCCTCATCACCAATCCCCACCTTTCTCCACCTCTTCTTAGGTTTCTACAGTCCAAGCACACAAGGTCTTGCCTACTATATCCCTACCAAGTCCCAATGAGCCATTGCACGGGCTCCTCTGGTCTTGACAGATACGATTGTTCCCTTGGATGGTGATATTTTTCCATACTTCGCTGCCTCCAGGACAATCCAGCTTCTGGGGCAAAGCACTGGGGATCAACATAAATTATATCAGAAACAAGTGAGAGGCAGATTCAATAGGGTTTCTTTCCCCCACCCGCCAAAAAAACCCTCAAAACCACATTCCAAATGCATAATGTTGTGAAAACAGACATAGCCAAGAAAAGCTTTGGATGTCTACGGAATCCTTTTAATGAGAACGTGGCAGTAATGCATAACTGCCAAGGTTATGCAGCAGTTCAAATTTCCTGGTAAACCTCTCTTGATGGGCTCCTGGAGGTAGGCCTCCTCTGTTGGGATGCTGACACTTTATGGAACATTCTCCCCCTAAGGAGTCGGTTTTGTTCCTCCTTATTTTCTGGAAGTCCCTCAAGAGTACCAATGGGATCTTGAGGTGGCTCTGTTGCTGATCAAATCTCACATTGCATGTGTGTGTTTTTATGTGTTTTGGTTTGACATGTTTTTATACCTTTTTGCTATAAACTAGTTAGAATCACTTCTTGTGAAGTGGATATAAATTTGATAAATGAACTCAAGTCAGCAGCCTCTGCTCATTTTCATCTGTCATCATTTACAATACTCACAGGGTCTGCAGCTGAGTGAATCCTCGGAAGCGGTCTTCAGGGAGACTTTCCAATGGATTGTCAGTCAGATCACTACATTAAGAACAAGATAATGAAGAGAATACATTCAGAGCCAATGCTGTGCTTCTTCTATGCTGTGAATAATGTTTAGTGTAGTACATCACTCTGATGTCATGTCTGCTACAGTGGGACAATTCACATTTAAAAACAACTATCTCAATCTTGAGGCTTTCCTGCTTTCCAGCTTGAAGACAGATAGTACATGTGCAATTCAAATGCCCGAATATAGAATTCAAACACTCCCCAACAGCTGCTCATACAAAAAGAACACACATTTCATGGCTGTTTACACGACAAATGTAATGCCTGTATGTATCAAAGACTCACCTATAAACCATTACCAAGCATCTGAGCACAAATTACTTGCAATTATTGCTGGTATTTCAGAAAGGGACACCAGAACCCACAAGCTGTCTTTTGTCTCCCCTAGCCTCAGTGTTCAGGGTGAATAAAGAACCTCAAAGAGCTGTACTATCAAAAAAAAAACCCCACCCTTTCAGTTTTGTGCATTGTATGGGGAATTATGAACATGATAGTACCGATAATCCTATCAGCTGCCACTTTATGCTTGCTTGTGCTTCACCACGACAGACTGCCATGAACTGAGGGGAGAGGAGATGAAAGAGGGAATGCTTTGGAAAACTAAACTAAGTGCAGTATCTCCACAAGATGCTGCTTCAAGGTCACCCAACCTGTGCTTGAAACGACTGTTAGGAAAACATCTTGCCTGAACCATAGAAGGAGCCATGTGATTTTCAGTTCTGGCTTTCTTTTACTGCAATACACTTGACCTTTAATCAACTATACCTTTCTCAACAAATTGAGCCAAGGATCATTTCTAATTAGAGGTTTAAACTGACAGGTCCAACAAATTCAACTTACATGACGAAAGCCGTATTCACTTCCTGGAAGCTAGAGTACAGCTGATGTAATGAGCAGTTTCCATAATCCAACCTATAGATGAAGAGAGATAAGCAGTTCTCTTACTTCTACTGTAAAGGACTGGGTAATGTTATTTTTATATTGGAAGTAATAGAAAACATTTCACAATAGCTAGGCAAGACTTATCACAAACCACAGTTATGGAATGTTATACTTCTGTTGGTGTAACATTTTTTGAACAGATGCAATAGTCAATTACACTTGTTGACTGAGTTCCCACGTTTTTTATTCTTTTGGTACATTTATTACAATGGAACAAAGAAAGAAAAATAAAATGCTGAATCCAACAATCCTAACATGCTGCACAAATCCAGATATTGGGAGAGATATCAAATTGATTGGAAAGGTTGGCTGTTGAGCAGGATATAAGAGAAATATCACAATGTTCTTTGTGTCTCATGGCAGCTATCCCCCTAGTTTTATCCTTCATCAAAATTCCGGTCCTATGTTTTATCCAACAAATAATGTTGGAGAAAAAATATTCCAGGATGATACTGTACCATAAAATTTATTCATACATTAATGTATTGAATAAATCAACTTGGGAAAATGAAGTGATAAATAAAAGGTACACTACTTAACATTTAACTTCAACTCCCATTACCTTGTCAGCATAGCCAATACGAAGAGAATGGAAATTATCATTCAAGTTATAACAGTACACATATTTTGTTCTAATTAATATTTTTAAGATTACTATCCTAGAAATCATGCATAATGAACTGCCCAGCAATTCAGAAAAATAAAATTAGCATATAAGTTCAATAACTATATATTTAAAACTCTCAGTAACCAAAGTATATTTACTTTATTTTACAGAAGTATAATAACATACATTCACAAGACTCAACTCTCAGTAAACCTTAGCATAAAACAATTAAAATCCCATCAACCTCACTCCACTATAATCATTTAAAAGTTATATGAAAACTAGATGCACATACAAATGTAATGCCAGAACTGTAAAAGGCAAATACATTTAAGGCAGCATTTTCCATAGAAAATGCCTTCTGCCTTCTATTTCACATCCCTTACTTCCTGAGGGAATTTTTGCAATGCTGTCATATTTTCTCCCATTTAAATAATATCTAGCTATGTTACTGTTCTCACCACTGAGAAATGAAGGAAGGAAAGAAAAAGAAAGATTTTTAAAACAGCAACAATATATTTGGAAAGTTCATTTTATATGTTCTCATAATATACTTTTTTAAAAATTAAGCCTACTTAATCAGATCATGATCTCTTGAGGGCATTGGAATATTTAAAAAACATTTCTGGACAATGCATCTTGGAATCCAAAACAAGATATAATTATCAGATGCCAGGGACTGCACTTGGATTGCCTTGTTGGATTGCCTGTCACCACGGTTAAGCAAAAGATAATGTACTTGGCCTCAAGGACTGTATTACAGAGCATATTTTGTTAGGCTGTCAGCTTGCGTCAGGCGCTGAATATTTTTCCCCATAAGCGAATGTGGAAAAAAAGCCTGAGCCGTCCGCGCATTGCAATTCCGGGGTGTAACCTGGATAACCCCAGGCGGGGAGGAGCCCGGATAAAGGTAAGAAATTTATGTCAGCTCGAATCGACTCACCCCAAAACAATCTTCTTGTCCCTCTCTAAGCAGCAGCGGCCCCGTCGTACCGCACCCACCCGAGAACCGCAGAAAACGGCTGCTGCGGACTCATTTCGCATGGGCCCAGCACAACAGCCGCAGACCTGCAAGGAGAAGGTAGACGGAAACTATGGAAGACCCCTCATTTATCTCCCCACCTCCCGGACAAGCCACCTCCCTCTTTACCTGCTCTAAAGTTTCTACCAGGAACCCGACGGACGACTGGACTACCAAATACAGGAACAGCTGGGGAACCCAGAGCCAACTGGGCGCAGCCATGATGCGTCACATGATCGCAAACTTGCAGCCACGTGAATCTGAATAAAAACAAGTACGGAAAGCTTGTTATTTTCTCCCATGAGAGAATAAAAGAGAGGCATAATAACGAGGCTATTTATGAATTTGAAAAAAAAAAAATCAAAAATCCATAGCTGGATTATTCGTCTTAGGTTATTAGATTATTTTATTGGAACGTATAAACTTCTGAGTTCTAGAAAAATTTTCATTGACTATTTTATTTATATTTACATTTTTATTTGTATTTTTATATACCCATGGGGAAAATCTGTGTGTTTGCTAGGAGTCGAAAACAACTTGAATGCTCAAAATAAATTCTGTATGTAAAAACACATGGGGAAAACATGCAGAACAGGGCTTCAGGGATTCTTTCCAACCTATTTTACCAGCAGCGGCCAAAGAAAGTACTGTACTTTTATTTTCTTCTACAGGTGAAACTCGAAAAATTAGAATATCGTGCAAAAGTTCATTTATTTCAGTAATGCAACTTAAAAGGTGAACCTAATATATGAGATAGACTCATTACATGCAAAGCAAGATAGTTCAAGCCATGATTTGTCATAATTGAGATGATCATGGCTTACAGCTCATGAAAACCCCAAATCCACAATCTCAGAAAATTAGAACTGAGCAATTAGCACCATAGGAAGTCACTATCATCTGCCTCTCCTTGGGGATTTGTTTTCTTGAATATTCTTCACACACCTATTAATTGTAACATTTTCTAATGACTTGCTTTGAAGAACTTTCATATCTTTTTGGGAAAAAATGAGTTGGTTTTAATATTACATAGCTATGGATTTTAGGATTCCCCCTCCTCCACATAGCTGGTTGCTATTTATGAGTCTGAAGGACATTCATGTAATCCCTCTTTAAAACCTTCTGAATAGAGACTTCAGGCTTGTGCATGTAGAGTTGAGCATTATACAAAAATTGTTTAGCAAACTTGTACGTCATATTGGAGACATGACATTAAATGCATGAAGCAAACCATATATTATTTCCAAGAAAATTGTAACTATGTCCTTGGAAAATATGTGAATAAAGCATGAAGTATAAAATACTAATTAGCCCCAGCACTCACTCATACAATTTGTTAAATCATAATAGATTTTGTTTGGTTTAGACTCAGTAAATTATATAAACCCAGCCTTTGTGACTTGTAAATCACAGTTTATAGCTTTGCATTTTATGTGAACTTAGCTGTAGATTTATTCCATACATCATAGTTAAATTGAACTTGATTAGAACAAATGATTCTTATTCACTGAAGTCAAAATTACATTTTAATATACAAGATTTAACAAGGCTATTTGTGGTTTTCAGAGAAAAATCAGTGGACTGATAATCATTTTCCCAAGGATGTCTCCCTCTCTTAAAAGCCACTGCATTTTATCACCTTGACCTTGAATGCCTGTATAATAAACTGTTAGACACATAATTGCACCAATATACCATACTTTCCAAATTCTCCAGGATCATTCCTTGAAAAAGAGAACACTAAATCCAGACCAAAGTGCATCTGATATCAATTTACCATTTCATCTCAGTGATCACAGCAGATTTATAAATAACAATGTTAAGTGTCTCATGCTTTTGTTTACTGTGTTAAGCAATCCACTTGCTCTTGTGACATTTGAGATCTAAGAAATTGTCACCACTTCTGCTTGCAAACTAGATTGAAATTCAGCAGTAAATTTGATCCTGTAGAAATTTGCCACAATCAAGCCATTAAAAAAATCTAGAAGTTGACACTGAAAATGAATGAAAAATCTCCATTTTAAAAGATTCAGCAAAGTTTGTACTGTAGTTCAAGTAGATGATTTTTACATTCACCTTCAGGATCAAAACATGGAGGAAAAAGTGGTTCAATCAGCCACCACTGGATCTGAAAAACACAAAAGCAGTTTGACATTTCACAAGCAATTCTGAGATGGAAATATGTTAAATATATGGAAATATGTTAAATATATGGAAATATGTTAAAGATAGCCACTTGTCTGAAATGCTTTATTTTTCAATTAATATATTTTATTATTTTAGAGAAAATGTATAAATGAAAAAATCTGAAATGATAAAAAAGTTAAATAAACTTAATCCTATTATGGCTCAATGTGGTGGCGAACCTATGGCACATGTGACAGAGGTGGCACTCAGAGCCCTCTCTGTAGACACATGTGCCATCACCCCAGCCCAGTTCCATCTGTCACGTTTCTCTCCTTAGTGCAGGAGTGAAGTGCCCCTACACTTGCCTTTGTGCGAAAAGGTATTCTGCCTTCATCGCAGTACATTTGCTATTGCTGCCTCCATGGCCTGCCCTCTGCTCTCACAGTGCCTTGTGCAGCACAGTGAAATTTAGCATGCTTCACAAGGGGGGAGACGGGGTCCCCTCCTCCTGGAGCCCATTACAACATGGAGCCACAATGCGACCCTGCAGCGTCAACGTCTCACTCTCGCATCCCAGATGTCAGTTGTGTTGTGAATGAATAAAAATTACTAAGCCTAAATGCAAAGCAGGTTTTGGAAGCCTGCACATTTGATTGGCCCTTAAACAACGAACAAGGATTGGGTCATAACAAGCCCCTGATTGGCCAAGCTTAGGACACTTCTTATTGGTTATTAGTTTGAACTTGATGCACTTAGTATTGGTTAATAGGGTAGCAGCCAACCCTATAAAAGGGGCTACTGCTGCCCATAGCCTTGCTCTGTTCTATTCTATTTACTGTTATTAAAGAGTTGAAGTCACTGGTCAGATGTCTGGTCTCCATTATTCTGCAAACGTAACACTGGCGACGAAGGTGGGATCCGGAGACCGAAGAGCTGACTGAGTTACAGAGCAACCAACAGAGCACGTGGTCGAACACGCACCATCAACGGCAACATGACCAGCGGTGCCGTACCACCCGCTCCATTCAACCCAGAAACCGAAGACTGGGAGTCGTACATGGATAGGTTCCAGATGTTTCTGGAGACCAACAATTTGAAAGATGCAACAACCGGCAAAAAAAGAGCTATATTTCTAACTCACTGCGGGCCTACTGTGTTTAAAATGGCAAAATCACTTGCTAAGCCAGCCGAAGTAAAAGAGATGGACTGGGACGTCCTCGAGCCTTTACTACGGGCCCACTACGCGCCCACCGTGCCAACCTTAGTCAGAAGACATGAATATTACCAGAGGGACCAACGGAAAGGTGAAAGCCTTGCCAACTACATCGCAGACCTCCGCAACCTTGGAGGCCTCTGCGGATTCTCTGATTTAGAAGAAGCCCTCCGAGACCGCCTGGTTCTGGGCCTAGAAGACGGCACGATCCAGAGCAAAATTATGGCTAAGGGGGACATCAGCCTCACCGATGCCCTCAAAGAAGCCACTGCAGCGGAGGCGACCAAAAAGTCAGCAGCCCGAATGCGCCGCACCAACGCACTGCTACGTCAACTCGCCAAAGATACCTCGCCTCGCTCAGAGAGACACCCGGTATCGACTCACCACGAAGACCTAGAATCCCCATCAGAAAGCGATGAGGAAGAGGTCAACCGACTCCGAACGGAACGAGACCAGTTCACACAACCCTCATCTCGACCTTGTGCAGGATGTGGGGCGAATCACCCCCGATCCAGCTGCAAATTCCTCGACGCACTCTGCCACGTTTGCGGGAAAAGAGGTCACATCGCAAAGGTTTGCAGAAGCAAACAAAACTCCAAACCCCGACAGGCCGAATGCCAGTCTTCAGAATTCTTCGGCACACCCCGAAACAAACTGAATCACCAATGGGGAAGCCACTCCTACAGAAACAAACTGTCCACCACTTCCACCAGGCGTGAGGAAACCAGGCGGGAAGAGACCCACCAAACAATTACCATAGGCCACGCTACATCCCTTGATGCCGGGAAAATCCGAGTAGAGGTCGCTATCGAAAACAAATCTTGTGTAATGGAGGTGGACTCAGGATCATCCCTCTCGATGGTGTCCTGGAAGACGCTTCAACAGCTCATTCCGACGATTCGCCGCCAAGACCTAAACCCTCAAAGGGTTATCCTCAAAGATTACCAGGGTAACCGAATTCCCGTTGTCGGGTCCCGCCGATTCCAGGTCTCTTTCAAGGACTGCACCGTCGCACTGCCACTGACTGTCGTGGACCGTGACCGGCCTAGTCTTTTAGGCCTTCAATGGTTCAGACCGCTTGGAATCACTGTAGCCGGAGTCCACCGTGCCGAGAGCAACGATTGGGAGGAAGCCCTCGTGCAAGAATTCCAAGACGTTTTCGCGAACGGACTAGGCAAGTACAAGGGGACCCCGATCTCATTTAACTTGAACCCCGAGGTAGCACCCATCCGCCTTAAGCCACGTCGGGTGCCGTTCGCCCTGAAACCTAAAATCGATGAACAACTCAATAAACTAATAGAACAAGGCGTGCTGGAACCCACCGACCACGCCCGGTGGGAAACCCCAATAGTGACGCCTATCAAGCCTGATGGGTCACTGAGAATTTGCGGAGACTACCGGGCCACCCTAAACCACGCACTTCAGCAAAGTGCGTATCCAGTGCCGGTAGTGCAACACCTGCTCCATTCCCTGGGTGGCGGGAAAGTTTTCGCTAAACTAGACCTAGCACAGGCATATCAACAATTGCCTGTAGATCCGGCCACCGCGGAGGCGCAAACTATCGTCACGCATAGGGGCGCATTTAAATGCAACCGGCTCCAGTTCGGGGTGAGCGTCGCTCCAGGAATTTTTCAGAGCTTAATGGAAAGGCTGTTACAAGGAATAAGAGGGGTCGTACCGTATTTCGACGATGTGCTCACCGCCGCCCCGAACAGAGACATCCTAGAAAAACGACTCCGCATAGTTTTACAAAGGTTCCAAAACGCAGGCCTCAAAGTTAAAAAAAATAAATGCCAGTTATGTACCGAAAGGGTGGAGTTTTTGGGATACCTCCTGGACAGTCAAGGAATCCATCCCACTGAGGGCAAATTAAAGGCAATTAAGAAGGCCCCCACTCCAAGGAACAAGGCAGATCTAC